ACCTCCGTGTTCCACTTGGCGTCCTCAGACCAGAACTGATCAGCAGAGTCTACCGAACAGATCTTTCTCAACGCCTCGTAACTATTCGCCACATGCTTGGCCGAAAATGGAACGTCGTACACTATCGGTCCCTTATGAAGAGGATGCGAACTTTCGACGGCCCGCACGAACCTCAAAGTAACAACTTATGAGGCAGAAGTCTAGAGTACATTAATTCAAATGTACTGCGCCCAGTGTTTCTGCGTGACTTCGGTGTCGGCACGCAGGAACGAACATCGCATAAGAGCACATCCCTTCGCGGAAGACCAACACCACACCTGCAAGCGATGGTCTGGTTTAATTTTCAGTATTAATAATCCAAAGACCTTTTAATTATTAGACAGGGGCGCTGTGTATATGACTCAGCCTTGGCGAAACCGTTGTGTTAACAACGCTAAGATCAATGACTGTCAAATCACGAGACAACAATAACAGTGACATTAACAGAGCTCCTTACATGTTTTAAGGTAATTTTGTATACGTAGCCACTGCAAACTCCGATATACAAATTCGGGGCCATCATCGGTGCTATGAACGAATCTAACACTGTTTTTCGATATGAACTTTTTAGAGAGAAGCAGAACAATTGGATGCTGCCTGGAAAGAGAAAATTACATCTTCGTTGTGCCTTGACTATCAAAACCTGTAAATGCAGCGTAGATAACCCTGTGCGAAAACGTGCATTCGTATGAACACCTGATGCGTTATAGAACGATTTGACGCGGTCATGGCCTGATTTTCCGTTAAAGGAGTACCAGCTTAGGCAACATCGTTCATGGCAAGCATGAGGTTCTCCAGCAAACAAAATCATGCGAAATCCATCTGGCATTAGAGGTACCCAAATACTATGGCCTGCCCAAATTTTCTTACTAGACAAGAGGAGCAAACGGGTAGTGCAATACGTCGTGAAATCTGATCGAGAAGTTCGATTCCATACTCACCGTGTCAGCATGTTTTGACGTAGATAGACAACCGTGTAAAAGTTTTGTGGAAATTTTCAATTACATAAATTAAATCTGTTTTATGAATTATTTGTCGTTGGCCGTGTGATAACACTAAGTGAAAGCGATACTGCTATCACCGCTTCATGTTCTACTTTTTATATGTCGTATGTCCACAGATACGTAACAAGATGCGTTCAACCAAGTCAGTACAGTCCAGTGGTTGCTTACTGTGCACGCCATTCGGCGCAGATTCAGCAACAACAGACGTTCACGGTATAAAGCCAACGATTTGACTTGTGTATTCTAATACTTCCTTCTAGTATGTTTCAATTGCTGTGACTAATAACGACCAATAACTTTGTACAATTGTTCCACAAAATTTATTCGTTGAACTGCCATGTAAAAGCCACCAACTAAAAATGTATGTAATCTTTCTGTCACGAAAGATTTAATATACAGAAGCTGTCATTCCGTACTCTGAGTTATTTTTTTAGGTGACACCAGGGATGTATTGATAATGTCTAATATGATAACCATTCAAAACAGTCCTAATTTTTTAATCTTTGTCCCGATACTATCCTAACTTTACTGACTGGAAGGCGCGAATGAAGTTTACTCAAACTGCTTTGGAATTATGCGTAAGCTGAACAGAAACCGAGTAGTGAATAAATAAGTAGTCTTGAATAATAGAATTTCGAATTTGTGATAGACCGTGCGCTGTCATAACGGTTTCATGCAGTTGCCACAGTGGAACAATAAAAAATTGCGATCTTCGAAATTTGAAATGCTTCATAATCTGCTCATCAAGAGCCTCCCACTGATAGGTGGACATGAGGGGATAAATTAAGTTATGTATACGGACAGACATCTAAAAAGTTACACAGATTCAATTTGCAGCCACAACTGCCCGCTTTTAATCGTCACTGACCATTCTGAACGGGACCATGTATCAGCCTCTATGAGCCTGCTCAGACAACATATATATGAATATATGCGACAAACACGGACCTCTACTCCTAATTCCTTCCTTCTAGATCCTATTACTTAACACGCATATGTTTGGTCACCATTTTACAATAACTGAAAGCTTACCGGAATCCTCCTTTCATTCCAGCTGCCTAAAGAGATTTCGATGAAGTCCTCAGTCCATGATGCGGGAACCACAAAGTGTTGTGGATAACTAAAACGATAATTAGAATAGTTTTTTTTTGCCAAAAAGTAATACAATCGAAATATTAACAAAATAATTTCAAAACAACGTGTCCCTTTGATTCCGATGGTCGTTGGCTGAATCAGCTGTATTTAACGGACACGCAGAATTCAACACTCTTCCTCTGTGATGCCGAACATTATCTACCTGACTGTGCACAGAGGTCGTGCGGTTCGGCAAACCAGTTCAGACTGCCGCTTTAAAGTGTCCGGAACCGGAATTTATTACCAATGACTATTACAACATTAAATAATACATTAAATATTGTTCAACACCATATTTACATACACAGGAAGCAAGAAATCTTGACCTATAATATGATGTGAGACTGAGGCTAAAACTGTCGAGTCATCACAGTATTCTCTGCAATGTTGCGACAACCGGTTGTAGATAGGACAAAAAAGTCTGGTGACCGGCAAGATTAATATTAGCACTACATGTATGGAGCATGCCGCTGTAGAAAGAGGTTACGTGAATATAAAACTAGCATTTCAAAATTTTACTTCATGACTAGAAATGACGGCGATGATTGAAATTGGCTCTAAAAAGTTGGAAGAAGATAAAATGTGGTAGATGGCAAACAGTCAAACTCAAGCCGAGGATGCGGGGGGGGGGCATCCTTAGCAAGGAGAGAGTCCACATAGAGTAGGAATTAAACGAAGAACAAAACGTAATTCCCAACCTTTCTATAGCTCGGTAACGCTGATTAACCTTGCTGACACGCCACGACTGACTTTGGCCAAAGATCCGTTGAAGTTCGCGCGCCCAGCGCTCTTCGCTGTCGAAAAGCGTGTTACGCAACACGTCTGTGAAAAAGGTCATAAAAGGCACAAACATACGAAAACGCATATAGTCAACAACTTACTGTTCGACGGTGGCAAAGGTCGAACGACGAAAGCGGGTAGGCTGCTCAACGAAAAGGGAAACGAATAACGCAGTAAACTATTCACAAACTAAAAATGAAATCAGAGAAATCTTACAAACCCTAAAAACAAGTCTTAAATCAGTCAATCAAGCAAGAAATTAACAAGGGCATCATCCATTTATATAGAGCTAAAGGCTCAACCACTGTACTGTTTACCAACCAAGACTAAATCCTCAATGGACATCATAAGTCAGAAAAATAATATAAAGAATTAAGACTACTCGCTATGTTTACTGCAAAAGATGATCAGGGAAAAATGCAGATTTTAGGACGATAGATCATTTCGTTTCATAGATGCGCAGAAATTTTCAAGAAGAATAGCTAATATGTAGTAAACGAAAATAATCACGTGACCGTTATTTTCATTATGATCAGCATCGTTGACTCCCTCCAAAACCTCGCTATCTCACTCATATTAATCAGTAGCCACATGGACATAAATCAGTAGACGGCTGCGCAGTTATGACATTCGAAGATAAGCTTATGTTGTTAGTCTCGAGACATTCTACTGACTTTCTCTTAGCGTTAGAA